GAGCCAAAACTCTCAGATTTTGGCATTGCAAGGTTCAATTTAGTTAAACTAAAATTAGTAAAACTTTGGTGGTCTTTTTAGTTATATTACAAGAATACAAGTTGGAGTCATGTGATATATTGTGTATTTTTTTATGACAAAATATTATTGTAAAAAAGCTCCTTGGTCTAAGCATAGAGAATGTTGAGATTAAGGAACTTTTGAATTTCAAATTTTAAATTCTCTAAAATGTACAAAAACTAGTAAAATGAAATGGAAATAGGATTTCAAGTCTCTCAACTTCTCTCTCCATTTCTTTGACAAAGGAAAAAAAAAGAAAAATGCTGAACATGGTATTAGAGCCCATGAGCTCTTGAGGGATTGTGAGAGATTTGAGTGAAACCCAAATACACCAAACACCTTAAACCTCATTGCAATGGAATCAAATACCAGCTTCACCAGAAACACCCTTGTTTTTGTTGGCCAAAACTACATAGTTTAAGTAGTGAAGATGAAAGCATATCTAGGGGCTTTCGAATTTTGGGAAGTGATGGAAAGAAATCAACAACCAACTCATCTTCCTCCAAATGCTACTCTTACTCAAATTAAGAGATACTCAGAGGAGGTGTTAAAGAGATACAAAGCCTTAACCTGCTTACACTCAGCAATGGCCGATGAAATTTTCAATAGAATCATGACTTGTGGGACAACGAAAGAGACCTGGGCCAAGCTAAAAGTAGAGTTCCAAGGCAATAACAAGGCAAGGCAAATGGAGGTTCTCAATTTGAAAAGAGAGTTCGCATCCTTTAGAATGAAGGATACAGAGACAATTAAGGAGTTCTTTGATCAGTTAACGAAGGTGGTGAACAAGATAAGATTGCAAGGGGAAGAACTGTCTGATAAGATAGTAGTTAAGAAGGTTTTGGTGAGTCTATCAGAGAAATTTGAGCACAAGATCTCATCCTTGGAGGATTCCAAAGATCTATCTCAATTATTCTTAAATGAATTAGTAAATGCATTGCAAGCTGTGGAGCAAAGAAAGGCTTTGAGGCTTGAAAACTATGTTGAGGGAGCGTATTTGGCAATTGACAAAGATAAAGCAGCAACCAAAGATGATGAAAACAAGTAGTTTGGTGATTAGAGAAATTGAGGAAAGGAAGAGTATCAAAACAACAAATACAAAAACAAAAAGGGGAGCTATGCACCTTGCTCTCATTGCAAAAAAAAAGGCCATTCCAAGAAATATTATTGGTTTAGACATGGAGTTCAATGCAAAAGTGTAAGCAGTTCAGACATGTTGAAAGGGTTTATATTAAGGAAGGTTCAAATCAGGTTTAGCAAGCCAAAATTACAAAAATTGTTGAAGAGGAAAAGCATCTATTTATGGCTATAAAGACTGAAGATTGCAACGCAACCACCTTAAGCGGTGACTCTTGGTTGATTGATAGTGGTTGTACAAACCACATGACCCTAAATGTAGCCATATTCAAAAGCCTTGATAGAAAATACAATTCAAAAGTCAAATTTGAAAATGGAGAATTGGTGGAGGTCAAAGGCAAGGGAGTAGCAACTGTTGAGACACAAATAGGTATCACATACCTTCATGATGTATTATTTGTGCCTAATATTAGTTATAACTTGATAGGTGTGGGTCAGTTGATTGAACATGACTATGTCTTGCTCTCATGACAAAATATGTGAAGTAGAAGATAAATTTGGTTCAAAATTGTTCACTATTAGAATAAATGAAAGGAGTTTTCCTATTCAATGGAAACAAACTAAAATTAATGCAAAGGCTAGTGTTGTTGATGTGAGTAGAAGTGTAAAATTTGATGAGAGTTCAGCTTGGAACTGGAAAAGTTCATAAATTATTGTTGCAGATCAGGTTCTTATAGCAAATAATGATGAACCTGCAGCATTTGGGGTATGATGAAGTTGAGCAAGGGAATGACAATGAATCTGATGATGATTTTGCTATTAGAGGGACTATAACACTAACTGATATCTATGATATCTATGAAAGGTGTAATCTGGTCATTGAAGGACCTACAAATTATTTGGAAGCAACAAGATTGATGGTCTCGAGAGTTACAATGCAGAAGGAGTTTGCTATGAAGAGTTGCAAAACTATTAATACTTCACCAGTTTCGCAAGAAAATTCAAAAATGAAGATGGTTCAGCCAAAGTTGATGGCAGAATTTACAGAAGCTTAATTGGCAACCTCCTATAATTTTCTCCAGCCCTTTTAGCAAAGAGAACATTATCCAGTTGTTACACCGTCCATCGCCTGTTAAGATGTGATGAGTTGGCATTGATTGGGCAGCGACATAGACCAAATTCTCTCTTAAACATGCGTCAAGGTCGTCAACGACCCATATCTCTGAACCACCGTTTATCAACTAACCGTCTATCAACTAACCGTCGCTCGTCCAACGACAATGCAGCGATGGTAGGGTATCTCTGTGGCTTGCATGCCTAGACCGAAGTTTTAAACTATAAATATCAAGTGATTGCCCCCGTTGCCTTTTGAAAAAAAAGATAAAAATAATTAATACCTTTTAAGTATTTTAATAAAAAAGTTAGCAAATAAACTATAATATATATATAAATATTTAAATTTAGTAAATAAGTACATATTGGGTTTTAAAGTTGTAGTACATAATTTAAGAGTTTAAGTTTAATCCCAAAGATTTTTTAAAAATAAAAGAAAATAGACTTATGAAATGTTTTTGTTTCTTTTGTTCATTAAAAAATAGTATAAAACAATCAATTTTAAAATGAAAATCATAAGAACAGTTTTAAAATTTCTAACTAAACTTAAAATTTTTAGACCCACACTTTGTTCGCCCCTTCATTTGTTCCTCTCTTTACAATAAATCGACATGTTTTGTTATTTGTTAAAATTTCTTTTATTGAGTCTCTTTTTAGTTTTCTCTAATTTTGTATTGTACTTTTTAATCTTTTAAAAAATAAACAATTTTAATTTTTTATGAATAAAAAAAAAATTTGATTTCTTACTTTTGAAAATATCCATCAAATATAATTATAAATTGGCTATCATACTCATGTTGTATATGAAATAATTTAATTCTATAGTGTCCTCTTTTTTTATTGTCTATAGTGTCTTATTTTATGTTAATAAATAATTTTATTTCATTGTAATTAAATTGTACATAATATTTTGTAACAATTTTATTTCATGACAGTACAAACTTAAACTATTTTAGAAAAAATAAATTATTAATTACAGAGAGGTTTCTGCTCAGCTTTCCCAAGTACAACAGCTGCTGCTGGAGGCTGAGAAGCGAGCCAGCTCCGGTGGAAATGAGCCCACCCCTAAAATCACCCTAGCTACACAAATTTAGTTGGGTTCTATCTCGCAAGTTGCACTGGTATCCTAACAAGTTTTTACCTTTTCTAAAAAATCCAATATAAGAATAATTAAAACAAAAATAGAAAGGAAAAAACGCCAACTTTCCTCCCGTTTTCCTCCCAATAAAACCAACAATAGTAACATGCTTTGCAGTTGATTGATTACTAGCCATAACTGTGCTTATTCCCATTGTTTTCCATCTGCACGTTGATTCAATGCATCCAGCAATTACTAGCTTAGTAGACTTTGCTTTTGCAGATGCTCATGCTTTTGCAGAAGAACTTTCCTTCATCTTGATTGACTACTAGCCATAATTGTGCTTATTCCCATTGTTTTCCATCTGCATAATAACATCCAAATTTGCCTTCTGAAGTTCTTTATTTCCTAAAAGCTACAAACGAATCAAAACGATTCTCAATATTTTTCTAAAGCTTGAGAGAAAGAAGAGCATTTCATGCCTTAATTTGCAGAAAATTTTATTCCTTCATGTGTCTATTGAATGCATCGCGGCAATTACTAGCCACGATTGTGCTTAATTCCTTTATTTTCCACCTCCATAATGTCATCCAAATTTACCGTCTAAAGTTCATTATTTCCTAAAAGGGACAAACAAATCAAAAGAATTCTCAATATTTTTCTAAAGCTTATGACGGTAGAACTATCAAAGCACTTGTTGAAGAACATTCCTCACCTCCTCTCCACTGCTATATACATAGGTTTGTTGGATTATGAAATAACGCATATAACATTAACTTTGTCCAGTACTTTCATCCAATACTTTTTCAGCATGAAAGTGAAAGGTTCTCCAAAATCTTCTCTTCTTCTCTTCCAGATTTTCTTGTTTCCCCTTCTTCCATTGAAGATCACAGCTTCACAAAGAACACAAGCAAAATCTCATATAAAATGGAAGAACAGCATTTATTCTCACCACATTCTCTAAACGCTTGGTCCACTAACAATACTGGCAATCTTTGCCACTGGACTTCAATCACCTGTGACAGCTTCACAGGAATGATTTCTGAAACCAATCTCAGCTGTGCAAACATCACCGGATCGTTAGCTCAACTCAACTTCACCACATTTTCCACTCCAACCGCTTTGACCTCCATAAACAGTGTTGTTGGATCAATACCAGCCGCCATTGGTAGGCTGTCTAAACTCACTCTCTTGGACTTGAGCAACAACGGCTTGGTAGATGTTGTGCCAATGGAGATAGGGCAGTTGACTGAGCTTCAGTATCTCAGCTTGTTCAACAACAGTCTCAATGGCAGCATTCCTTATGAAACTAGCCATCTTCAAAAGGTACGGCACCTAGACCTTGGATGGAATTATTTAAAAAATCCTGATTGGTCCAAGTTCATAGACATGCCTTTGTTAATTAACTTTGGATTTTCATATAATGCACTGAAAATAGATTTCCCTTGCTAGACTTCTTGCTGCTGGAACTACAAGGTGTCAATCTATCAACATTTCCACACAAACTTGAGTTACCTACAAAGGCTTCACCAGAAGCATTTTGAAACAGCCTACGAGTCGGAATTGGACCTGTCAACTCATTGTGGGAAAAATCAGAGGTGATGAGACTAATCATACCAGACAAGCTTGTCGGAATCTTACCGGGGAGATGATTATGTGAAACATTAAAATTGTACAATGACGAAAGCTTCGACCGATCTTGTGGCATTGCTCCTGAAAGTGAATTGCTGCTTAGATCAAGTGTGATTTGAATTGAAATCAAGTTTTCAAGCTGATGTGAGATGCTACCAGAGATTGCTGTGGCTTAAATCCAAGCTCAGTAACCTTTTACAATTCCCGACCTCCTGGTGTACTCCCATTCAAGTTGTTCTCCGACTAATCAAGATATGCAAGATTCTGCAAATCCCCTATATCTTGAGGTATCTCTCAGATTAGATGATTCTCGCTTAGATTTATTATTTAAATTGATCAACATGCTTAAATTTCCAAGTTCATCAGGAATATTCCCCGATTAATCATTGGAGCTGAGACTAAGAATACTTTTGTTTCTGTCCATCTGTAGATTGATGAGATTCTGGCATTCCCCGCACTGTGGAGAAATGTATTTGGGCTTCATCCAGAGCTACATACTAGATCTAGGCAATGTGTCAGTTAGATCAACTTGAAGACATGAACATTGCAGTGGAGTCTTTTGGAAAATTCAATTGTTGTTGAATTTTTCCAGTCGCCATCTTTCTTATTTATATTGTTTCTTCACTTAAAAGATTCTCATACAGGTCAATGGCTCTTGCTTATTTTTGCTTGTCGCATGCTGACATATTCAGGTTTGTAAAATTTAGTCATTGCAGTAATCATAGAGGCATTAGAAGTTGTGATCATAGATGGAAATCCTCAAGTAGTGGATTGTACAACGTCAGAAATGCATTTGGGGTTCATCTAGAGCTACTTACTATTTTTCTTAATGACAATCAATTTACTGGTGAAATCTCTCCACAGTGGGGGGAATGCCAGAATCTCATCAATCTACAGATGGACAGAAACAAAATTTCTGGCCAAATACCAGCAAAGCTTGGTAAATTGAACAAGTTGAGTATTCTTAGTCTCAGCTCCAATGATTTATCTGGGAATATTCCTGATGAACTGGGAAATTTAAGCATGCTGATCAATTTAAATCTGAGCAAGAATCATCTGACCGGAGAGATACCTCAGGATATAGGGGATTTGCACAATCTTGCATATCTTGATTTGACAGAGAACAACTTGAATGGGAGTATACCAGAACAGGTTGGGAATTGTAAAAGGTTACTGAGCTTAGATTTAAGCCACAACAATCCATCTTGTAGCATCTCACATCAGCTTGGAAACTTGATTTCAATTTAAATCACACTTGATTTAAGCAGCAATTCATTTTCAGGAGCAATCCCACAAGATCTGTCGAAGCTTTCATCATTGTACAATTTTAATGTTTTGCATAATCATCTCTCCGACGACATTGCAGCAAGCTTGTCTGGTATGATTAGTCTCATCACCTCTGATTTTTCCCAGAATGAGTTGACAGTCCAATTCCGACTGGTAGGCAGTTTCAAAATGCTTCTGGTGAAGCCTTAGTTGGTAACTCAGGTTTTTATGGAAATGTTGATGGATTGACTCCTTGTAGTTCCAGCAGCAAGAAGTCCAGCAAGATGAACACCCAACTTCTTATTTTTATCCTTGCTCCTATTTGTGCTTTTTTAGCTCTAACATCTATTGCTGTCATGATTCTAATGCTTCGTGCTCACAACAAACTTCGTGATGAGAAGTGAATTGCCAGTTGAAACCTTAATTCAATTGAAGTAGTCCATCAAACATAATAACAGCAATTAGAAAACATCAAATATCCTCAAGCTGCTTTTTCAAAAGCTATGATTCTTCCTCAACATGGAGGTTAGGAGAGAGACAAGAAGATTTTAACTCATAATTGGTTGAATACACAGTGGTTTGTCTTTAATTCCCATCACCAAAAAGAATTGATCCGAAATTAAGTGCCAACTGTAGTACATTGAGTGTTGATTGTTCTAAAATTTACACCTAATCCATCAAACACCATGCATATACAAAATATCCAGAGTCATAATTCCTTGGTTGAAGGAACTTCAGAGTTACATTGCAAATGCCATTTTGAAATTCTTACTTTACTCTTTGTTGTTCCCTTCTTTCCATGAGTGAAGAGAATTTGAATCTCAAAGCTTGTCCCGCTGGTAATTGGACTACGATATCCTTGCTCTCTTTCTTTCTTGATCTTTAAATCTTGTTCCATTATTTCTTCTTTCATTCTCCCTTTCTCTCAATTTCCCTTTTTTCTTCAACAATCTAGAGAAAGGACGGAAATTTTAGGATCTTTTGTGTGTGATTATTATTGGAAAAGATGAATCGGGAATGTCATTATTATGAAATCTTCATAACTTCAAATGATTTGTAGTGAAACTTTGCAGTCAAAAATCTGAGAAAAAAAAAAAAAAGAAAAAGGAGAAAAGTGGTTAAAGTGTTTAGCTTTGCTGGAGGCAGAACATTTTTATTCTTCGTCGACCATAGTAGTGTTCAGTTATGTGCTTTTTAGGAGGAAAGCATTGGGTTGTGGCAGAAGGAAATTAGACCAAAAGCTTTTGCTTGCATTTTCTTCTTTTAACGGGCACAACTTTTCACATTTTTTTATTACTTATTATGCCTTTTTAACATATTTTTTATCAGTAAATTAAACATGTATTTATTATATATTTTTATTATTAATTTAAAAAAATTGAGATTTTGTGATATTTTTAATGTCAAAATATCTAATAATAGTTATAAAATAAATTTAATAAAAACAAAGACCACATCATACCTTATATATCATGTGACTATTATTAAACATCATAATATTTTTTTTTTCATTAATTTATATAAAAAATTTTGAAAATGAATTTTCTTTTCATCGATGTGAATATCATATGAAATGATTTAATTAGATAATTAATAAATTTTAAATCAATTTTTAATTTTTTTTATAAATTAACTTTAATCTTTAATAATTCACTAGCTATTGCCGATTTTGGTTAATGTCTTAAATTTAAATTTCAATGTTTTGAAATTCAGCCCAATCTAGTTGGTTCAACCAGTGTACCGAAATCGGTTTTTAAAACGGGTCAGCTTATGATATTGGCCCATTAAAAGTCAAATTTGATCAAATTTAGTCAAAACTTGCCCAAACCGGCCCAAACCCACTAAACTTGGTCAAACTCAGTTGATCCGAACTAATTCAACTCTTTTTTTTTTTTACATTTTTACAATTTTTTCATTTTTCTTTAATTTTTATATTTATTTATTTAATAAATAATATAATAATTAAATTATATAATTTATTTACAGTTAAATCACAATTAATGAATGAAAGTTTTTAAATTAATTTAAATGCAATTTGAATCAATTTTAAAATTTAAATTATTCAAAATTAAATTATTAAGTGATTTTAATTTAAAATAAAATCAATTCAATTTTTGAAATAAAATAAATAATTATTTTACATAATGAAATAAATGAAATCAATTTAAAATTAAAAATAAATTAATTAATTAATTTAAAATTAAAACTAATCTCAAGCAATTTTGGGAATAAAATCAATACTTACTTTAGATAATAAAATGAACGAAATCAATTTAAAATTAGACAATGATATAGGTACAACCCTTTTTTTACAATCATTTTATACAACTTTTAGATATTATTAAATAAGTTGATGCACTTAATATTACAGATCTCAAATAAATAAAAGAAATCAATTATTTAAATGACACGTAAGGTTGTAACAAAAAGTGATACAATAAGGTTTTCACAAATCATTTTCCTTTAAAATTGAAATTAATTTTAAGCAATTTTGGAAATAAAATCAATACAAGAAAAAAATAATTTTATAATTAATATGATATCCATGTTTTAGATGGCTAATAAAGGAAAATACATTATATATTTTAATAAATTTAATGAATGAAATTAATTTCAAATTAATAAATTTTGAAAATAAAGTTTTAAAAATTAATAACTACTTTGATAAATAAATATAAAAATGATTTTTATCAATTTTAAAATAAAATCAATTAAAGTAAAAATAATTTATAATTGATCAAATAAATTTAATAATATTTATTAAATTAACTAGTTGACTCAATTAATTAAACTAGTCCAACCAATTGAACCAAATCTAGTGATCAAAATAGGTCAATCACCGAATTGGGTTTTAAAACATTGTTAAATTCATAGGAAATTCATAGTTGACATGTCAAAGTGAAAGGGAGAGTGGTAAGAGCAAGTGCTTTTAACATTGCTCTAGGTATTTTATTTAAAGGTCTTTTTTTTTTTATAGTTAGAGATTAACAATTGAATCTTAAATCTGTAATTAAGAGTATAAATAATTTTATTATCATATTATATAACGGATAGTTTTAAAGGTTAAATTTTATATGAAATAATTGATAATAATGTGGGACTAAAGTAAGCTTTTTAATTGTTTGCTATTTACATGCTCTTATGAGTTACAAGACTTAAAAACATTTTAATTTTAGAATATATAGTCCTTATTTTTTTAACTATAGACCAAACTTGCATTAGTTTCATGGCCATTATCATTAATTTTTTTTTTTTTTTGTAAATCCTGTATTAAATTCAAAACAGAATATTATCATAACAATTAATGGCTAATTTATCAAATATAAAAATCTTGAAAAGATCATAGACAAAAAAAATACTATATAAATGCTCATATAAAGACTAATTATTGATGATCGATGACTTATCAAAAAGAAAAATAGAGCGGAACGATTTTTCGAAAATCGCTGGTTAGCTTGGTTCCTAACAACCAAACACAAAAGTAATAAAAAAATAAAATAAAAAATAAACATAGTTCCTTCAAGAAAGAAAAACAAAGCCATAGAGAGGGAGGTGCCTTAGTTACATCATCTATCTCCTTTTTCCTTACAACCAAACACAAAAGTAACCCAAAAAAAAAAAAAAAAAAAAAAAAAATTAGACTTGCACAGGAACAACATAAAATTCTGTAAATTTCCAATTAAAGCATTCAAATCCAGTACATGAAGATTCATACCACTGCAGCAATCCAAAAAAATTAAGATACAAC